TTTTAAAATTACTACGTTTCCCAACAATAACGTGGTTGCTTGCTTTCCTAGATACAAATGATGCACAAACAAATACTCTTGTTCATTGCAAATTGGGATGCAGATGATTCTGAAATTGAGTTTCTAACTAGCTTTGTACTGTATGGAGGATTTGTTTCTACACTTGTAGAGTCCTAACGCATACATTGTAGAATCTCTGCACATTACCTAGAAAAAAATATACTCTATAAATATGTACCGATATATATATAAAGATGCAACACGTACATGACACAAAATAATCTAGATAGAATTGTGATGTTGTCATACTTTTTAGCTTCACTTAGATACATGGAAAAAGTTCACTTAGCAATATACATTTCTCTTTCGTGCGACATAAGAAAAGTTTGAAACATAACGATACCAAAACAATAAAACTGTTTAAGAACGAGCATCAACAATGAATATTTATCGACATGTTTTCTGCTTAATTCTGCTAGGTAATATGAGAAACATATACTCCCTCCATTCGAAAATAAGTGGCGTGGCTTTTGTTCAAATTTGAACTAAAACCACGCCACTTATTTTTGAACGGGGGGAGTAGTTAATCCTTTTTGTATAGTATGCAAATAGATGACAACAACAAAGTTTCCAGTCGCAAACAATTTGGGGTGGGCTAGAGTTCAATCACATAAAATTTGGAAACCCATAGATGACATATATTCCATGACATTGAAATATGTAAAAAGTAAATGAGTTCAATATAAAATACACAAAAATTCATATTACCGATGACAATATATGATATAGGCTTCTAATATAGTTCTGTTAAACAAACACTAGAATACAACATCATTTATATCTGATCATTCTTTACATGAGTATGTAATTTCGTCTCTATAAATTTCCTATTTTTTCATGGAACCACCACATATTTGTATCGGGAACCACTTGACATCAGACTATTAATGCTTAGCCTCCCATCAAACCAGCTTATGGCCGTTTGATCCAACCCGAAGTGATCGTTGGATGAGGTCCTTCGGAGTTATCAAAATTAAAACCAACTAAAACTAAACGTGGGATTTACTATTAATTACTCCACGATTTACCTCTCCCTGAATTTTAGGAAACAAATTTCAGTTATTAAGAAACTAATAAATATAAAAGGATTATCCCCATCATATACTAGTTTGATTCCTTATGGAATAAACTTATTTTGCTTCTAATGATATTCATGTTTGTTTCCACTGAAACCAAAATTTACTTCTATCAAAGGAAATTGGTTTTTACATGGTTGTTTTGAACCCATTTTTTTGCTTCCCCCTATTATAAATCGAGCTTCCATGGTTAAGAATTAATTTGGAAAAGCTTTCGTGGTTAATGAAATTTGCTTCAATATTTGTTAAATGCAACAAGTTTATGCTTCCATCGGCAGAAGAATGAGGTTCCCTTGTTAAGGAATTTTGCTTCATGTTTTCAACAGAAGAGATTTATGCATCATTTGACCGGAGAATGAGTTTCCATGGATAGTGAAATTTTCTTAGTTCTCACAAGTTTTTCGTTTACTAAAATAGAATTTTGAGTATCATGTAACAACATGATATATTGTTTCGGAAGCATCACCAAATTGATTCGATCGAGTAGACAATTGCTTTTTTCCTTTTGAGAGAGATGGAGTAGATAATTTCTTCAATAGAAACAGTAACTTGTTTTCATTGACAAGATTCCTTTTCATTTATTTTGAAAGATGACACATGCTTCCAATGAATTGTGATGAGTTTCCAAAGAAATAAAACTTGTTTCTGTCGAACGAACAATTTTCTTCCATGGAAAAACACCACATATGTAATCACATATGGTTTCATCGCATAGGCTAATTGCTTTCTGGTTGGGCCACAATGTAGTTCCTCGAGGTGGCGGCAACGAGAAAGAGCACATGCATCCACGAGCAAGCTCCGCAGATCGTGCATCGATAAATCTTCACAGAAAGCTCGCGGTGACCTTGGGTGACTGCCAAAGGAGCACCTGAATACACCCATCTCCACTATAAGCAACTATATCCTCAGAAACTTGCAGAGTACGACAAGGCCATCAGGAACCCACTTCAGTCCCAGGATTCGACCCTTTCTTGTTGGGTGATGGCGAGTCAATGTTGTCGCCATCTAACTCGTCGTCCTTCATGTCCATGAAATTTACTAGGATCCACCACCAAGACCCCATGATGCACCTGTTAGGAGGAGCATGGGCTGCATCGAGGACGAGTGGTGCTATGGAGGGGACCAAACCTTGGTGGCGGTGCATGGAGAGTTTGACAGTGAGTGGATTGGGTGCGGGAGATTGAATTTGGGCAGTGCTGGTGGAGAAAAAAGGGATGATGTAGGTGGATTGCAATCTTGGTGTGAGGTGGGTCGCAGGAGGAACGATGTGGGAGTTTTAGTTTGGAAACGGGCGAGGGATTATTGGGATTAGGCGAACGTGGCTCCGTAAAAACGGGAAGGGATTTTGCTGGGTATCTCGGCCGTGTGATGGAAGCCGAATCATTGAACAACGAGTGGTCTGACGATAGGTTTGTACCAGACTACTGGTGGGAAGCGTTTCCCCTCATTCATTTGGATGGCTTCTACGATCATCCATCATTGGCGAAGGTGTCTGACAAAGTTCCATAGTAGTGATATCATGGCGGGAGAATGTCTAGGGCCTAAGTGTGGATGACGGTATCATATATCAAAGCCTACAAATATATATTGATATATGTGATACTATTTCAATATTATTTTTTTTGCCAAATTTAGGACATATGATAAAATTATATTTACTGACCTCTTAACATAATAATTTTGAATAAGTCAATTTATGTTTTTAACACACATTTCTAAGAAGGCGTAAGGACATCGTATGCACCAGTGTTACTCAAACAAGATTTCAGTAAGAAAAGTCTACTTGTAATAATCTAAAGCCATCGTTGCCATCCATATTCAGTTGTTTTCCAATAAATATTCTTAATTATCACTTAATTATCAAGCACCCAAAAAACAGGAGAGGGGATTTATGGTACCATGGTTCATCAAAGAAGTAAGCTCAATTCAATTATATCTAACATAGACTTTACGAGGATACGGTCCATATCAGGGGCCTACCTAGGCACATACAGCACTAGCCATGGCCTGGGCGACAAGTTTTTTCGTTTACTGTAGGTAATGTTCATCAATGTTGTTATGAAGTTGGCCTGGGGTGTGGCTCGATGGTGGCTACACAACTGAGCCATATTAGAAGAAATGGATAGTAGTTAGGTTAGCCTCTATGATCTAGAACGTCGCAATTTTCATTTCATACTTTGTAGGGTGCACACTCTCAAACTCTTTGGTTAGAAGGATGACCAAACTGTATGATTAATATATTAACACTAAGAATTATGTTAACCGTAAGAAGATTGTTCTGGTATCGGTAGCAGATATTTAGTTTGAAAATGAAATAAAAAACAGAAATGTTGTACTTTGAAATTGATAGCCCATGAATGTATGATAAATTCATATTTAATCAATTTTGTTGGAGAAACAGATAAATTCTCCTATGACATGGTCCAAATGCTGGCTTGAGTAGATTTAAGGGTAAGGAAAATTAACCAGAAACTTTTCCTGGCAGAAATATCTAGAATTGTTAGTGCTTAGTGTACCTATTAACCATGTTATAACATAAAAAAGTCATAAATCCTTTAGTAGGTTGGACTCAAATCAACGGTGCCGAGCCACGCTCTGATGGACCATGGTCTAACAACATATTTTTGGCCCAACATCAATATCTATACCACTATATAGTGTACAGATAACTTTGAGTATCAATCGTTGGATGAAGCTGATCCGAGTAGAAACGTAAACATGGCAAATCGGAGTGTTGCGGATTGTTGGATCTTTTCTTTACTACATGAATCGTCTAGAAGATTCTATGATTGGGCTTAAGCTCTATGCACATTTTGCACAAAATTTAAAACACACACCTACTTCGCTCTAGAATCTTTCATGCTGACTCTCCTAACTTTTTTTCTATCAAAAATATCACTTATTCCAATATTGCCACAAAAAACCATTCATTTTTAGTTATTGTTTATTCTTGTGGGTAGAGCAATAACTGTTCTTGTCACTTTCTATTAAAAATTGCAATGCCCAAGAACATGCATAGACAAAATACATTCAATTTATTTCACTCAAGTTTTGTATTTATCCTTCGTGTATATGTGCCAATATATTTTCATTTGCCTATTGTAATACTATAAGACATATCGCTAACTTGATTATCTAAGCTCTCGGGTGCACTGTATGTCTATGTCAAAGAAGAGGC